GTATTAGATCTGGCAGGAACCTCTCATCGTTCGCCTGCCATTCCTCGGAAAATCCCCCCGAAGATAAAAGGCAGGAATCTATCCAAGGCGATCGATTACTTCTCGGAACCGACGAGAGCGCGGCAGCCCGAGCCGATCGCCAGCTCTCGCGAACGTGAGAATCATACCTCGGGTGGGGTGCCATCCTCGAGTCGGCTTCGAGTGGGGTGCCATCCTCCACCTGTGGAGGGAAAAGGTAGGTCGGAGACTCGGCGGCCCTCGATCGGTGTGAACTGCACTCGTCCGTTGGGACGTTTGGGTCTTTCGTCTCGAGCTGAAAGGTCCCAGGGACCTTTCATGCGATCCGTCTGCGTCAAAAGCGGCTTTTGGGTTCCACCTGTGAAATAATGCATTGCATTTTTTTTCAGCAGGTCGATTTAAGAGTTGGGACGACCGTCAGTCGACAAGTTACGATCGACTTTCTCGTGGGGAGATAACGAATGCCCCGAAGCGCATACCATCTGAGGCTCAATGCGGACTCATTTTCGAAACGAGGGAGCTTCTGCTCCGAGGACGCCATTTCCGTAATGAGAATTCAGCTGCGACGAAATCGATCGCTGAGGGTTCGGCGTCTTTCGAGGTGACATTCGCCCGATCGCGCTCGATTCCTTTTACTGGCAATGAAACCAAATTCCTGCGTTTCATGGGATCGATCGCAATAACTCGCGAGAGCGGCGCGACACGTCCATCTACGCCAGCGATTGGAACTAGACAGGACTTGAAAACGCGCCGCACAGTGGCACGACCCGAAGTCGTCCTTCACCCTCCTTTCACCCGGAGGCGAGGGTGACCAGGTGGCGCATGCGCACTGCGTTCTCGTCCTGCACCCTCCCTTCGTCTAAGTTAGAGGCGAGAGGTTAGAGGTGCGTGGGGCGCATGCGCATTGCGTTCTCGTACTTCGCCGCCTCCACCCATCCCCCTGGGGGAAATGAAAACGTCACCGCACGCAGTCGCCGAGTGAGGCCGAGTTCATACTCGTGCTGTACAGCACGTACAGCAGCGGCAAAATCCAACATGGGCATTTTGCATTGGATAGTATGCAGTTACGGCATCCAGCATGCTGTACAGCATGAGTATGAACTCGGCCTGACATGGTGGAATCACCCTACAGCTCTAGAACAGACGCAAAAACGATCTATAATGGCAAAACGCGGAGACGCAGGTGAAGTAGCTCACAAGGGTAATCGAAGAGCAAACAGAGTTGTGGAGGACGAAGGTTTCCTTAACTGGATTTACCCAAAACCCTTAACCCAACTCGAAGATGTATCCTTCTCACTCGATCTCGTTATTCGCTCGCCCGCTCGATTCCCCTCGTCTGAGATGGGGAATCGGAATCCACTCGACGCGTTTCCTCCACCTAAGCACGTTTCTCCGATCTCGTAGTCTGCCTCTCCAGCCAAGTGAGTTTCCAAGAGCTCTCCGTCACGACGAGCAAAGCCCTCGCTGAACCGTTGGAGCACTGCCCGCTCGGTCACACCGAAAGACTCGGGAAGTTTGAGTAACCCTTCTTGAGAAGCAAGAGAACGGGTGGCATCATCGATCACGTCACCGGCTGTTTCTAATCGCTTGAAGAGGCTCCACCAGTCGCTCTCAACAACGCGATCGTGATGCAAAGATCCACCAATCAGGATGGACTTGACTTCGTGACCTCAAAGCGTCGCGTGATTCGTTCGAGTCAGCCTGAGCAGGCAGGGCGGATGATTCACTTTGGGCTGTGCCCAGGCTGGCACCTAATCTTATCAAATTCGAAAATAGGCCTACCTGCTACTCCGTCGAACGAAATAAAATTAACCATTTTGCTTTGAAACGGGTATTTACGCACTTTCCTCGATCGAAGGATGGTCTTCGCGAGGCTCAAGGAAACTCATGCTAGCTCGCGAGAGATAGTGCGTATTCGATTTCTCTCAATATGGCGAACAACGGCATGTCACCCAGTCTGTTGCCCGAGCTCAGCTTAAAGCCTCGGAATTACTCGTGCAAACCGATTTAATTGCAGGCTTCGCTAAAAACTTGCGAAAGTACGTTACATTTGAACATGCTGTGATTTACCAGATTGCACTTAATTGCATCAGCTTGCACCAGCTCGTAGGACAGAGTCGAAGACGCCCTCGGGACAGACGCCGCTCGTGCATCATCTGGTCTGTGGAAGCTGCTCTCGCCAGTTCTGGATGCGAAACGCGTGGCCGAAAGGAAAAGCTGGAATTAGAACGCCCTCCTCAAAAACGGGTAAACAAACCTCTAGATTTTAATGTTCTTTCGGTTGGAATTTTTCGAAATTAAATAGAAGCCGAATCTATCGCATTCGTGAGTCGATGATGAAATATTTGAAGTGTGAAACGGAATCGGCCTCTGACGAATGCGTCGAGAAATTCCGAATTCTTCGTTTAATTCGTCTGTGGGAAAACTTCGAGTGCCGCATGAAAAGTACTCGAGGGCAGGCAAGACGGATTGTAGATAAACAGTTCCCTTTCGGTGAGGGAGCGCTGAAGAGATCAAGCACGTTCAATGAACTCGGGGGAAAAGGGTATTTGCAAGAAAAAAAATAGCGGGGAGAGAAAAAAAGATTGAAGGACCTCGTCCCAGCTATAAGAATCCAATCGGTCCAGTGATTGAAATTTCTTGTTGCCTCTCCTATTCCCTCGCCGCTCGATCCCAAAAGGTGAGGGGGAAGGTGAGGGGAAAGGTGGGGAAGGTGGGGGGGAAGGTAAGGCTATTTCGGGGGGCCTCGGGGACTCACAAATTCGGATGAAACGTGACGTTGATGGATTTCACCGGATGGGAGAAAACCCGGTCATGAATCATTCCGTCCTCATCCGGAAATCTCTGCCTCGAAGGTGCGACGAATCGATGGAGCGAAGCGATCCGGAGGAATTTCCGTTCCATGTCGAAATATCGAGGAGAGCTTTACGGTTCCTCGGCTCCTCGAGGATTCCCGAGGAATGGAAATTCCCTCTCGGAAACTTCATTTCCATCCGCGATGAGCCTCTCTTCTCTCTACTTTTTTTTTCTCCCTTTATAATCATTTGAGAGGTGCGGGGCTGGATTCATTTCAATAATGAATGAGGAAAAGACGGAGGGTTTCCGGTCTGGGATACTGAATCCGGATTTTCATTTTCCTTTTCCTCCGAGGCTGAATCGGAATCAAAGTATGGAATGAGAGTCCAAAAATCTTCCATGGCGACAAATCTCAACCGTAATTTTTTTTTTTTCAACTTTGTGAAATAAATCGGGTCACGCAGGAAAGGGGGCGAATCTCAATCGCGGTCTACTTGCGAGTGCAAAACGGTCGCAGAGCAACCACGATTCCCTTTATATTCCTCAGCGAGAGGAATATATATATTTATATTTAAAGGAATACCAACAAAAAGTTTGTCTTACCAATAAAAAGCGTTAAGCAGAAAAAGTAGTCAAGTACGGAAATTTGATTGTCACGAGTAGTTCCATTTCCCTCCAAACCTAGTAAATTTCTCATCCCCCCCCCACCCCCACCCCCACTCCCCGGTCCCCTGAAAAGAGAGAAAGAAGGAAAGAGCAAAGGCTAAGAGTCCTCCGTGCGAGTCGCCTAGTCCACGACGAAGAATGGAAGCCGAGCACTCCTAGCGGAAGAAAAGGCCGTGAAAGAAACCGAGTGGATTCCTCCTTAATAGAACCCAGGAGTCCTTCCGCTTTTCAATTTCCCTCTGATTCACCAGGGACACAGCCACCTAGCAGCAGAGGAACGGGGAAGAATCTAGATGGAGGAAAGAGCCATTCCCCGTCGAATCTAACCTGGTTTAGACGAGCAAAAACGGAGCCAAACCGATTCGGATCCAATCCAGACCCGACATTTCCTCCCGAGTCGCTCATAATGCGAGAGCATCCGATCCGATTTCGATCCCCCCGCCCCCCTCCGCGATCCAATGACGCGGGGGCACACCCGAGGTGCATGCGAGAAAATCCTCCCAAGTTAAATAGAGCATCGATCACGTGGAAGGAGGGGGGAAAGCAATCCTCTGGGTTTACGGAAGAGGGAATTTCATGCGGCACTAAATGTCCCATCGCATGAATTAAGAGGAGAATCCCATCCAAACCGGAAGGCTGTAAAATCCATTTTCGCGCAGGTTTTATTTTAGCGATATTTGCGATTCATTATAAACGCTAATTGGGATCCTGCGGATGAAAAGCCCATTGAATGGAAAATATCAAGTTCACCTTAATATACATGCACGTATGTTTTTACCCCAGCTTACACTCGAAGCAAATGATTTATACTTAAAATTTAAACATGTTTTCCCTTCACGCTTAATGGTACAATTGTAATTGTATATGAATTCCATCTCTTCCCTCGCGAAGGACCAAGAGCTCTTTGAAGTGGTTTTCAAAACGCTGGACAATCACACAAGTTGAAATATGATTGAAGCGCACAATAATATGTACGAGATTGGAGCGATGCAGTGTGGCCATTTACTCGTGAAAGTGGTAAGGAGTTGAGGGTGAAGGTCATGGAGCATTTAATCCTGGGTCAAGGATGAACTGGAAAGGGGCGGTTAGCCTGAGCAAACATGATTAGTGAGAATACGGCAGTCACTTGGCAAGCGAAGCTCGGGGGAGGACTTCAAAGAGAATGTAAAAGGAAGACCTGTTCAAATAAACGATGCCCTTCATTTTCGTAGCCGCTGATAACGCCGGGCTGCGCTTCCTGTTCTTAAAACTTTCCCATCAAACTGAGGCCATTACCATATATCATCGTGAAAGATATTTAAAAGATGAGGGACTTGTCCTCGTTGCCTTAAACGGGTAAGTGCTTATAGTTTTTATACTCCCCTTCTCCCACGTTAGAACTTTGGGAGGAAATATCAGGGTACGGCAAAGGCGAATGAGATTGAGGCAAAGAGGCGTGGATTCGTGCAATCACTTCATGTATTCAGTGAGATCAGCGGCACATCAGGAACGAGCGAAAGGCACAAAGGGTGAATCCATGCATGGGATTAGAGTTCACTCTAAAGTGTATTCCAGGAGGTGGAGGTTCTCCAGGGAGCAGGATTTCCACGGGTGGAAGAAAGCCGACGAGGATCTCTGAACCGGCCTCCTCCCATCCGCCACCTCCACTTCCTCCAACTCCTCGTTCTCGTCCCGCACGTTCGGGTCTCCTGCGTGGGAGTCGAGATTGTCCAGTAGCTCCACCGTGGAACCCGCCCAGGAAAAACCGTGACTGAGGGGCTTCTCGTCTTCTCCCCCCCACGGACACACTTTCAGAGTTGGAACCTCTCTGCAATGAACGAAAGACACGAAATGAACGTCATATCTCCTGATCCCAGAAAGGATTCACACCATACACCATTCCAACAACAACAAAAAAGCCGTGGTGGAGAGGTGGTGTACAGGACGATTCCTTCCATCTTTTTTCAATCGTCCTATCGAAACTCCTACATGAGTCGTCATGTATTATATCCTAAATCAAGGGGAACTAAGACATCTTCCAACCTTAGGGAAATCGTCGTGATCGTTGCGCGGAATTTCGAGCAATGAACGAGGAAAGAGAGGAAAGAAATATCCACTCAAGCTCGGGGGTGAGCGCGAAATTTTTTTCTTGGGATGGTGAATTAAGAGATCTGCAACAGCCAGCCATTGAAATATTTTATATTTACTACCTTGAGTGATATGCTGCTTAAAGAGTGAATTTTTTAAATGACTTCAGCTGTCGACGATCGATGGCTCACAATCTAAGTTAAGACATCCTCAAATGAAAATTAATCAAGGTAAAGCAAAATAGAATAAATATGAAAACTAAATATAGAAGGACAAAGAAAAAAAAAAGAAGCCAGATCAGTAAGGAGTTACTGGAAAACGATCTAAAAAAAATTTCTGAGAAATGAAACTGCAATTAAGAAGGGCCATGCTTCATATATCCAACAGTTCCAAGAAAGAAATATTACTTCGGAGATTTCGTGCTAAGCCGACGATAATGTCATTTACAAGACTAGGGTGTGAAGCGAAAGATGAGATTTTCCCCTTCCATTCACCCAGTATAGCATCTCATAAAGTATACAATAATACTCACAGAAGAGACGAGGAGGAGGAGGAGGAAGAGAGGGACACTCGTTTCCGACTCTTCCATCGGTCCGTGAGGAGGGCCACGAGGCAGGCGACGAGACAACATACCATCACGCACGTCATCGCGGACACGAACACCAGGTCGGAGAAGGAATAACACTTCCCTTCCACCGCCTCCACCGTGGCAGAAGGGGAAAAGGAGGCGGCTGAGGTCCGAACAGAGTCCAATGGCTGACCTCGAAACGGGAAGCGGACGCCTTCATTTTTTCTGGGCACTGTGACGATGGTCGCCTTGGAGTGTCGGATGCGGTGGACGCTACGATGGGGCAACCGCGGGGCTTCCATCGCGGCTCCTCTCTGACGGGTGAAGGAGGATGCGACGGGGATGCGAGGAAGAAGACTTCCCTGTTCATGCGCACTCCGCTCCCGTACTATAACACCCCCCGCCTGCTGCCACCTGAAAGTGGCCTTCAAGTTTTCCCTACCTTCGCTCGCTTCATCAGCCGCGTCTCTTCAGGCGAAGCTGGATTTAGGAAATGAGGAATCTGACTTTTAAGCTAATGTTCTTCCAAAAACATGCAATCATAAAATAATTTTAGTTGCAAAAACAAAGAGATATTCAGGGTGGGCAGTAATTAAAGAAACAAGTTTAATTTGTTGTATTGCTTGAACTAGTTGATACCGAAATGAGAAGTGGCATAAATTAAAATGTATCTTCCCCTCCTCTCACATTCATATATAGGGCAAAAAATCCGCATACTTACACAATAAAATTTGTTTGCCCCCGTTTTCGAAGCATCCCTGCAAATGGAATTTCACTGCCTGGCACACTCTTCCACACAAATCAGGCGTGGAAGGCGGTCAGGCGCAGAAGGCTTCTGCGAGGCTCCGATAAGGTGCGTGGATGCGTCCCACAAACTTTCTCTTTCACAACATGTGGATGTTCTGAAGGAGAATGTTTGTGAAAAAGACTGAAAACACGAGATCTCAAGTTCGCAGAGCCCATTCAACGACAGAACCAACCTTTGGAAAAGTTTTCCTTCAGCGAGCATCTCCCATCGAGACGATAAGAAGTTGGCCCTCCATCTCGCATGAACCAGAACTCCCCAGCATCACGAGGTAACCGGCCCGAGCCGCACGCTCCGCCGAATCGTTGAATTAACGCCATCGCTCCCGGTGAGACGAGAGACGAGGGGACTTCATCGCTTGCTTCGGGTTGTCCTCAGCCCGGTAAACACTGCTATGATGGTTGACATGACCGCTGAATTTGAAGCAAAACTCGTGACAAACAGAAGCTTGCAAGTGCAAGCTGGAATCCTGCCATACTTTCTGGAAGCACACCTCGCACAATTCCGACTTCTGATAGTGATCATCCCCAAAAGTCGAAGGACTTAAGTGGAAGGGTTTTAATCCCAGTTCCCGGATGATCCGACGGACACTGGTATTTGACATGCCAAGCTCTCCGTCATCATCCGTTTCGTATCTTATTTTTCTCCCCCCATTATCGCAGCGCTTCCAAATGGATTTTTTTTTTAATGTAATACGCTTCATAGCGGGAGGTGTCACTGCCTCATCGATCGGTTCTTCGTCTCCTTCATTTCAGTTAAATGTGGATTTCACTCGTTCCCATGAAGTTCATCTTTGGCTTCATACTTTTTTTGCCAACTGAGCCAGATTACCAGGTCGAGACCTCGACATAGCAAAAAAATAATAATAAATACATGCAATCTGGTTTGTGATTATATTAACAAGAAAATGTGTTTAAAATCCTACAGCACAACAGACTCTTTATATTCTGGTATTTTCGATTTTTTCATAGTTTGATGCGTATCAGTGACAAAAGCCAGAAGTACTCGGGCCGGTACGCGTAGCAGAGGTTAGAAATCAATTAGACGAGTGTACATACATTGCTCCTCATTGACTCTCGCACCAGCCGCAAATTCCTGCGCACTAGAGGCAAAAACACTTTGCTGGTCTTTCAAAATAATCCGTACGCATAGTACGCATGCATAGTTTCGCACTCCGACCGTTTCGTCACGGGAAGGGTATTAAAGATGATGCAATATTTTTGAGAGAAGTCCGAAGCATTTTGCCGCTAGTGCCTAGCCTAGCGTAGGGAATCTCACCCAGAAACGCTAACGAAAGCCGACACAAGCGAGCGCGCGTGCCTTTATGCCTGGTCGGCGGCCACGTAGAGGCCTCCGCGGGGACGACACTTCGGGGCCCGACCGGGTCGATCGGAGACAGAGCTCCGAGGCGAGACCGCGGGTCGGGACGATCCGGCCCGTTGAGGCCGGATCCGGCCCCTGAACTACCAGCGCTGAGGGCCTTCGACGACGAGACGCATTCGCTGTTATTGATCCGACACACGATTGCTCGAAATTCGATGTGAAATGCCCAGAAATCGAACTCGATTTGGAAACCGTTATCGTTAGTCATTCGTGGAAAAAGTGATTCGGGACCGATCATTCTTCCTTTTTTTATTTAAACCTGTGACTTGAATCGGTCCACTAAACTAATCGAATTTGCTTTCCTGGTATTTATTACATTCTCGCTCTTTCCCGTCGTTTTCAGCCCTACTTCTCCGGAAGTCTTCGTTCGCGTAAGTCGAGTTTCTCCCGAAAAGGTGGACTCGACGTCGTCCATTACTCGAGCTGCCACCTCGAAAGACCCGGGAATCTCCTCGGGGACCCATTCGAGAACTACGCAAGATCCCCTCATCGGCCCCAGACCCCCGTGCCCCCGGGTCGATAGACGCACCGAACCCCGCCGCCCCATGCACGTGGTGCTTCGGGAAGCACCGCACCGGGGAAGCACCGAGGAAGCACCGGGGAAGCACCGAGGAAGCACTGGGGAAGCACCGAGGAAGCACCGGGGAAGCCGAGTACAAACGACCGAGCAGAACCCAGACAAAGAGCGAACCCACACCGAAGGAGAACCGTAATAGACGGGCCTCAGATGTTTGTTCCATCCGGAACGAGAGGCGGAGAGATTTCCTCCCCCTCGTTATCTCCACCCTTTCTACGGGGACGGCCGCGCCGATTCATCATTTCCCTCGCGGATCAATGGATCCGATGGCCCGGCTCCGTTTCCTCGACGACGGACGATGCTCGAAGGCGACCTAGGTACTCGCTAGGTACTCGTCCCGAGTACCTAGCGAGTACCGAAGCACTCCGGGTGAAACAAAAACTCTGGCTGCCACGGATTCGTCTTCGTTCGGCGCTCGTCGCATGGCATACATCATTAAACCCCATGCATTTGGACTCATGATTCTTCCATCGGCCCAGGGAACATCATTCCGACGAGACCGGGCCGTCTACATCAGCGGCTCCCAATATTTGTTTTTATTCGCGGCACACGTGAACTTTCCACGGCACACCCAGCCATTTAATTCAATGGGAAACTTGAGCTTGCTTCGCTGAACACAGCAGTTTGATACGAGGCGTGATAGTGCAACTCGAAGCTCGTTTTCCACTGAGAGATGGCATTCCCGCTTGTTTTTAAGGTTTTACATCATCATCATCATCATCATCATCATTATTATTATTATTATATAACATTTTCAGGGGGTTTTGCATTCGTCGCAAGGGATGCCACCCAGATTTTGGACTCGAGGCGATAACATAGCGATACGAGAACCTTTTCAAAAAGTTCTTGTCCCGCTTCACTATGAGAGCAATATGAGGGCAATACGAGGGCAATGCGATGAAATTTCTCTGCAAGGTAAGACAAATATAAAAAACGGGATTTCCACGAAACCTGCACTGTGCATAGGCCGATAAGTTTATATATTAATTTCTTCGAAACGTATCGAGCCAGAGCAAGGCCAAGGCAATGGACAAGGGATCTCAAGAGTCGGAATCAGAATCAGTCATTTGAGTCCATTTGAGTCCGTTTGAGTCTATTTGAGTCCGTTTGAGTCCATTTGAGTCCGTTTGAGTCCATTTGAGTCCATTTGAGTCCATTTGAGTCCATTTGAGTCCATTTGAGTCCGTTTGAGGGCACGCGCCGTTTTCAACTTTCGATTTCTTTTCGGGACTCGTTCGTCGTCTCGCCGCGGTGGAAGGAATCGGCAGGGAAAAAATTTTTTTTTTACCATTGCACGATGACTCAAAGTAATTAACGAAGTAATTAACGGTGGCCCGTGGTCAGTCTCACTCGCTTTTCAACCGGCGTCAGTGACTGCCACCGAGGCTCAAATCTGAGGCTCAAATCTGAGGCTCAAATCTGAGGGTCACTCGGGAGACCCGATGGAATTCCGGCGTGACATCCGGAAACTCTATATAACGGGTGTAACGCTGCATCACGCGTTACCGCCACCGCTCGGAGGCCCTGCGACTCGCGAATCCATCGCGATTTCATCGCGAATTCATCTCGCGAGAGTCGGAGATGATGATTTCTCGCGAGGGAGATTGAGAAACGCTTTGAATAATTCCGCTCTAAGCGATCCCTTGGGGAAATTGGAAAAGTCGCTCTGGGGACGCGAAAAAAATGGGCCTACTTATCTCGACATTAGACCGGGAACCATATTTCAACGAGATCAAATTCTCTTCGTTTGAGTCAAGCGGGTTTTGAAGGGGAAAAACGCGAAATGAAAATCCGGAGCCTGGAGTAACGTATTTAGGCTTAGGCCTAGTTCATCTTACCTTACCTTTATCCGTCTTTTCTCACGACTGGATGGAGACGAAGAATCTACGGGATTCCCGGCTGGATGGAGACGGCGAATCTACGGGATTCCCGGCTGGATGGAGCCGGAGGCTGGATCGGGGGAGGGGGAAACGGGTCCGGGATTTCGAATCTGTCGAGATCGGGTCGCGCGAGGTCGAGCACGGCTCTTCTCGGACTGGCGCGGGACGAGTGCTTTCGTCGACTGCAGGGACATCTTGTGGATGGGAGGGTTAAGTATGGGTAGAGTCCTTCGCGGGCGTGTGAGGCGACGCGCTTGGAGTCCTGCACGGAACCTGAACTCGGAATTCGAGCGATTGCGATGGCAGTAGCGCCGGACGTCAGTCTCGCTGGTATCGGGGACATCCGCCGGATCAGCCGGGGGATTAATGCACACAGTGGGGCTCGGTGGATCCGTCGGATGAGGAAAACCGTCCGAGACAAAATCTCTAACGGAGTCTCTCTGCTCCGAGTCGAATGCAAGGGTGAAAAACGGGATAATCCTCGCTTTCCATCAACAAAGCCGCACTGCGGGCCGAGTCGAGAGTCCCGCGGGAAAACAGGCGATCCGCCATCTTTATTTTCCGAAGATCTTCGCGTGCGCCGTGTGAAAGTCGGCTGGATGGAGTCTACCGATTCTCGATTTTTTGCTTCAGGGCAGTTTCTACGATGATGAATACTTTCCAGTAGTTTTATTGTAGGTAGAGGCAGAGAAGATTGAGAGGCGGGTCACGTGACTCATTTGTCGGAATGAGTTCAGTACGTCCCCAGAAAGTTCTCCGGTCCTTCGCCTGCCCAATGAGAATTCCACGGATTGCATCGGCATCGTTATTGTGGCCACTCGATAGCTCGGGGCCGTTCGTTCACTTTCGGAGAGAGATGCGAACTTTGGCGCTTTCTTTTGGATACAAAAAAATTGAGCAGCATTCTTACGAACATCTTACGCAGAAATGTTTCGTGAATGCCGCTTGAGAACATATTTCGAAAATGTTGGCAAGAATGTTTCGTGAATGCGGCCCCAGGTTACTTCGTCGGGTTACATCCGACATACGCGGGATGGGGATGGTATGGATTAACTCTGGTTAACCCAAAGTACATACGGGATTTTTTTTAGCGACATGTTCCATTCGCCGGGCGTTCGAGGAGGTTCCAGGAAGAGTGAAAATTAGTGCCATTCGTCTTCCCCTGCCTCGTTCCTTTCCTACCGGTCCCGATCTGTCATTTGGGGGAGGGGGGGGGGGGGGGGAGGGTCTCTTGATCTATGGGGTTCCGAGGAGGATCCGACCTTCCTATATTTTTCCAAGGGGCTGTCGGTATTTTCGCGATCATCCATAATGCTCGGGATGCTAAAACGTAGAAGTACTACGAACCTTCCCAAGGGAGTAAATCCCACTCTTTGGCGACGGTAACGCAGTTTGCCGGTAACCTCTCGAGTTCATCTTACTTTTAGTGCTACCGGCCACGCCAGACGAGATATCGCCACATATTCATCGGTTTCGTCCGGGTTGCTTCGATATCGATCCAGTCGCAGTTCAGTTGCAATTCCAGTTGGGATTTTGTCATGCGAGTAGTTGCTCAGACCGTAGTGGAACATCAGTCGGGCCGAAATGCAAACGGCCATTCTGAAAATCAGCCTGTCATTTAAATCTCTCTGGACTCCCAAGAACCCAAATTGCTGGGGCGATCGAGCAAAAGGTGATTCGGAGCGAACCCCTACCACCGATATGAAAAACTCCCTCAAAATACCGATTGCCGAATTTCCAGTGGAAATGGTGCATCACAATATTCGTTGTCGAGTGGAGCCCGGCTGTGAACACGTTCCAGCCGATACCGATTCAAAAATATATCATCTGTATTTCTTTGAAGCGAGAGACAAATATCTACTATTGCGAACTTCATGAAAGCGGGATGAAAATAGGAGATAGCGGCATAAAATGGGGCGATCGAAGAAATTCAAAACGGGAAAGGCAAACAGCAGAAAGTTGGGAAACTCTTAAGGTAGAACCACAGCATGCAAAAATAATAATTGCAGGATCGATGTACACCAGAAAAGCGAAAAGGATGAAAAGGATTCGTTCAAGCGAGGCGCCGCACCTCGCTGCGCACGTCGTTCAAGAACTTGCAGTACTGCGAAGGACTCAAGGCCTGATCTTCGACGAGGAGATCCCGCACTGCCTTCCCCATCCCGTCCTCCTTCCTCACCACCGTCAACTGAAGACAGACGAGACCCACGATGAGACGAGGAAAGCGGGTCGTGGAGGTCGAAGCGGAGGGAGAGGTGGAGGGCGGAGTGGAGGGAGAGGTGGAGGGCGGAGTGGAGGGAGAGGTGGAGGTCGAAATGAAGGACACGAACCGGCATCTGGTGGGGCCTCTGACTCTGAACGGCGTCGATGATGGCATGGATCCTGTGCGAAAGCGGCTTCTCGCCGTTCTCCCCCGCCTCGAGCTCCATCTTCGTCTCGGCGGGGCTTCGGGCGCCGAACACGTCGAGGAGCCGATCCGAATCCGCACCGGGTCCCACCCACAGGTACATCGATATCCCATTCTCTACGGCCAAATCCAAAGCATTGGGACTCGGGGACGGCTTCGCACTCGAATCTCACTTTTCCGGTCAAAAATCCATGACAAAACGGCTGAAGGCATGCCATAGAGGCCCAAATTGACGCCTTCGATTCAAAAGCATCGAGAACTAATTCGTTTTCCGAGATCTGAAACACGTGGGCGACTCGTCTTAGGATCGATCGAGGATATATCACAGATACTGGAGCTCGCAGCGAAGCAGAGATCGGTTTAGAGATAAATCTTCGAGAACGTACCGATATGGTCTGCTTTCGGTGCACGAAATGCATTAGACCGATTGACCGGCGTGCTCAAAGTAAAAAAAAAAAAAAAAAAAAACCACGAAAGATGCCGTATTTTACCACGAGTCGAAGATGCAATGAGACAGGTGAATCATAACCCGAGCGCACACAGCTGCACCTCTACTAAGAGTCTCAGCTGGATACCAGGATCACGATCATTTTGCATGCACGCACGTGAGGCGTTCAACATCCAAGTTCTCGCGGGACAACAGACGGTACCTACAGTACCTGCAGGAGCCGCGTGTAGGTTGCAGCCGAGACCTAGTAGCGGGTCGACATGGGACGAAGAGGGTCACAAAGACAAAAGGAGAACCGATCGAGGCCTTCGTACCGAGGAGATAGATGCCATCATCGTCTCCCTCTTCTTGAAATTTCTGAACGAGGCAAGGCACCCGTTTGGGAAGTCGCAGGGGCTCCCCGGGCCCACCGGGTTCCCCAGGCCCATCGGGCTCCCCGTCGGACGCGTCTCCGAGAGGTAGGAGACGAGGGTAGAGGTACGCCATCGTGCTGGGGACATCCATCGTCAGCACCATCTGCCGAGTCCACGCCTGGGCCGTCGAATCCAGCCCTGAAAGGGGATGGCGAGTGGATGACGAGTTGATGACGAGGGGAGGACGATGCCATCCGATCGGGGAGGTTCCGACCTTCTTTAAGCATGGGGCTCCTGGACAAGCAGTACATGTAGAGGGGGAGGAGCTTGAGGCCGTTCTCTGGCAGGATGACCTGCCCCGCGTACGCGGGCCCTCCGAAGGTCCTCGTGTACGATGCGAGGATCCTGGCGCAGTGGTCCACGAGGTCCTGTCTCGTCTTCTGCAAGTTCCGCTCCGGGAACTCCTCGATGGCTACGGAAACGACGTCACTTACGGCCCTGGGAATCGGGGGAGACGACTCCTCGGGAACGCGAGGCTACGTTACCTTACGTGTGAAGCTCGTTCCTTTCGTGATAAAAATATATCCTTTCGTGTCTTCATTTGACCCGTCCATACAAATTTGAGGAAGTGTCATGCAATATACGGTATCCAACATTACAATCGATTCTCAATATACGGACAAATCTTTCCAAGAACCCTTCAAGAATGACTTCTCGTTGTTACTTCTCAAGGAATTAACCCCCCCCCCCCAAACCCCCCCCCCCCCCCCCCCCCCCCACACACACACACACACACAACCGCTCACCAGCCTTCGTGAGATACGTGATGATAGTATCGAGCTCGGCCGACCGGTAGACCTCCGCCATGCCAGCCGCAACCCCACAGGCCAGATTGAGAATCCTCAACCTCCTCTGCCCCCCACACGTCGTGTACAAGACCGCCACCTGCAGATACACCGCCTCCTCCTCCAACTTCCCCTCGTGCTCCAGCTCCACGCAGAAACCCTGCCGGCCACCAAACCCACTTCCAGCCACCGAACCCCTTCTCGACCCCTTCCGGCCTCGCCCGCCCCCTCACCTTGTCCGAGTCGATGGCGGCCAACTTGACCGCATTGGCATTGGCCATGGGACTCTGCCCGACGACCCTGACCGGCCTGACCCCCTTCGACGTGCGTATCTGCACCTCGCAATCGAACGCAACGGGCCGCCCGACGGCTCCACCGAGATCCAACAGGAACCTCCTCCCGTCCGTGGCCACCTGCAAATCCCCCATAGACGACATCGACAGGTCGCACTCCACCGCCTCCACCCCCAACTCGAACACACCTGAAAGTTTGGGTATCTGTGGACCGTGCCCCCCGTGAGCCACGCCACATCTGCGAGATCCACGTGCCCGTGGTTGAAGAGGAACAGATCCACGCTGCACCCCACCTGCACGCATTCCTCACTCAGCACCTGCGCAGCTGAAGAGACACATCCGTCACGACGACCACTCGAAGCAAAAAGGCGACCCTGCGGCAACCCTATGGCGACTCACTCAAGGTCTCCGTCCCGAAGAGCCCGCAATTCTTCGCCTTCCCCGACACCTGCGTCGCTGCAACAGCAGCGTGGAACACGAACAGCTTCCCGCAACACTCGTTGGCCTGGAAAACCCCACCGACAGGTCATCGACAGGCCATCGTCACGCGAGCCATCGCCGATCGAATCCGTGCCCACCGCGAGAGCTTCCGTGCCGAACTGAATCGCTCTTGCGAGGATCGTCTCCGTGCTCCGGTTGTCCTTCGCCTTGCACTTGGAGATGTCGTTGAGGATCTGGTCGATGGTCGACTCCGACTCCGTGGGGTCGACCAGGAACCCGTCCGTGAGGAAGTTGTACATGCCCCCGTCGTCGTTGGCGGGGATCTTCCCGGCCGCGCCGGGAGACGCCTGGAAAAAGCAAATGATAACGTAATTATATCATATAATAATGTTTTATTTTAGTATTATCACATATTTATCGCTTTCGCGAGAGCAGAGGAGACCGGAGAACCTTGCAGTTGTAGAAGTCGACAGACTTGTGATAGGTGATGAAGCCGACTCGAACGCGCGACGCCTCGGCGGGACCCGCCCCGGCCTCCTTCGGCAGGCACTTCAACAGGGACTTCACCTTGGAGCAGAAGAGGGAGACCGGGGCGGTGCAGTTCTGGCTCGCGTCCAGGACGAACACGAACGCCGGCTCCTCGGGGAATTTCCCGTTCTGCGGGGGAGAGACGAGGGATGTGTGATCGCGGGTCGACGTGGATCGGAGGTCGACGTGGATCGGGGGTGGACTCGCCTTGCAGTACTTCTTGGTGGCGAGGATTTCGTAGGCGCCGAGGTGGAGCTCGGGATGCCGGTCCTTGTCGATGCTCTCGCCGATTCGGTGGAGACGCGAGAAGTACTCCGCCGGAACTGCGTCCACGAAAGAGATGAGCAAAAAATCCAGCTTGAAAATGGGGAGGGGAGGGGAGGGGGGATTTACCTTCGGTGCTGGCCTTGCAGAAGGCGCAGGAGAAGAACTTGTCGGTGAAGCGGACGAAGGGGGAGACGTAAGCCTCGCATCGGTTGCATCGAACGGGTCCCCGAGCCCCCGCGTCCACGAGCGGCGGGGGCGTCTCCCCGGGCGCCTCCCTCGCGAAGGGGCAGAGGGAGAGGGCGAGGGGGAGTCCCGCGTCTTCGAGGGTCCGACGGGTCGCGGGGATCGCGTAGAGCGAGGCGCGGAGGAGTCGCGGCGACGCGAATCCTCCGTCCCGCGACGCGAACTCCGTCGTGGACAGAGGGGGCACGGTCCCGAGCTCCCCCGTCGCGTGCGTCCCCGCCTTCCGAGCGTCTTCCTCCATCGCGCGAATCTGAAAACGAACCGCGTCGAGTCGCCGCGTGGGAGAAACTCGTCCGGACGAAACGGGGAAAGATCGCTGACCGGGTCCGGCACGTGATAGGCGTCGAGGCGGCGCGGGGACCGAGCCGGTCGGTTCATTCTTCGCCCGCTCCCGAGTCTCACCTGAAAATTCATCCGCGTCGGTCAAAAACGCAAACTCGTTCGAGGCTCCTTTTTCCCAGAGATGGACGGAGAACCTACTCGCAGGGTCGCCTTACGAACTGATTTTAAATTATATTTGAATACAACAAAAAGGAAAAGAAACTCGGTGGTGAAACTTTTTATATCCTCTGTGCTGTCTCGCGTCTCGATACGGAAGGAAATTGCGCAATGGTGCCGGATGGATTTCAGCTTTCTGACTTTCCCAGAATTTGCACCGTCTTTCCCGCAGGTGGTGGATGGATGCTTTCAGGCTGTTTTCAGTAACACGTTGGACCGATTTGAGCCCGGTTTCGCGTTTCATGAACCGCGTCAGTGCGGACGTGGAACGTTAGGCCTATCAGGAGTTCCTGGAGGTTCGGGAATGCCTCCTGGATGCATGGAATACGTGGAGCGCGCCATTTTGCTAGTACAGGGATGTCCGATGTGGTCGCGCCATCTTGCTAGTACAGGGATGTCCGATGTGGTATCTGCGCGTCCCGCCGCGTCCGTCGATCACTGATGACCGCCGCTTCGTTCTCGGCTCGACTCGTGAACTCGGCACGAACATGTCTCATACGTTAAATAACAGAAGACGCCGATACAAGGGTTGAATCGGTCGCGAATCTGGCATGATTTCGGCGCGATATCCGGCAACACTGGGAGACGTGCCTAAGCCTAAATGAACGAGAGCTAATTTCATTTTTTTTTATGGCGAAATGGCGGATCGCAAAGAAAAAATAATGCAAATTTCGTCAGCTTGAAGTCAATGTCTTTCTTATGGTTGGTCTCTTTCCTCCTAAAACCCTCCAGGGAGAAAACAAATAAATAAATAAATAATATAATGAAAAAGGAATTAAATTTACATCAATAAATCGAGATGGAGCTTCAAATTTTCCGGAGTGATTCTGTATTGAGAGAGGAAGAAACGTGCCCAATTTCGTCTCTGTTGCTCTCAGAGGAATGCGAGGAGTTTGAATTGAATGGGAAAGGGTTGAAGAAAGGTAAAAAATACAAATTGATGAATGGAGTACCGATTCGGAATGAAAAAAAAAAAAGATTGGCCTTTGAGAAGCAGACTTTTCTTATCTGGAAGCCTTGAAATGGAATTCTTTTACCTCCACTTTTTTTCGCTTCGTCGACGAGGCAGACGAAAGCCGACCTGGGCTGACCTATATCGACTTTCGTATAGACCTGTTTCGAGGGAAACAGGTTTAAAAGAGGCACCGGTCGTGCCGTCACGACGTTCAATTCGACCGAGCGGGACGGAGTGAGGCTGAAATAGGCCGTTTAAAATGAAGTCCCAAAGGGTCGGGAGCTCCCCCTCCCCACCTTTACCCCTCTGGCGCCCCGGGCGATCGCCCGCCCCTAGAAACGGCCCTGCAGTGCGTACGCCAAATCTCAACCCCCCTCCCCGAAATGAAATCATAGATACGGCCCTGGTCGCGAGGCCCTCGTACCTGGGAGTACTTGAGAGTACCTGAGACGTACCGGATGCGGAGAGGATCGACGGAGGGGAAGAAATGCGGGACTAGGCGGATTAGGCGAGAGAAATGCCGAGATGATCGTCGACAGAAGCGAGGACGCACGAACGTAACGAACGTAGCCAAGTCGGGGAACAGACTGGTGAAAGGGGGGGGGGGGGGGAGGGGAGGAGGGAAGGAGGGTGACGTAAGGAGCGTCGTCTGCTAGATTCCGTGTTTTCGCGGGCTTTCGATCGTCTCTTCGGTCGGTGGAGGTCAGTTCGAGCCTGGAGCTGCGGGTGTCGTGTCGCTCTGTCGCTGTGCGGTTTTTTTCCTGCTTCCAAGGTCCCATCAAGTTTTATTTCTGGTATATATATACGTTTTTTTTCCCATAGGTACTATGGGGAAATGGCAGATATTGCGGTCGGTCTCTCACTTTTTTTCCCATTATTATTTTTTCACTCTGTCAGTCCATAGCGACCGGGCAACACGACCCACTGCGCATGTGCAGCTTTCCGTCTGGGTCGGGGTGCCCGTCTTCCACCAAAACATCCACCTCCCTCCCAGCCCTGGCGGTTGACGGATCCATAGACAATGGAGGAGAGCGGCTGCTCCCGGCTGCGTGGACAGGGTTGCTAGGCGTACGCGTGAAATGCGCATCTGGCATCCTACACGTACTCTCTTCCCATCTCCACGCGACGCGGACGCGCGAACCGTCGATGACATGTTTTTTGTCCGGGCCTTTTCATATAGGCTTATGCCGTACCAATGACATCTTTATATATTTCAAGGTTGTATGCGGTGAGTATATAATAATTCCAGTGGTACAGGGGCCAGTGTAGATCTGTACCTGGGCCGGTACTCTCCAGTTTCTTCCGTCGTCGAAGTGTGGCTGCCTTTTTCTCGTGCGAATTTCGGCGGAGATGAGCTGGCGAGGTGAGAGAGTTGCTCCAAGGTTTTTCCCGCGTTTCTTTGTTTTTACTTCTGTCGCCTGCGAGGCTCTTCGTGGGGGAATCGATGTCGGGGATGAAGAGAGCAGGAATTCGCGGATGAGGGAAGGAAATGAATAAGTAAATGATAATGAATAAATAACTCGAATAAAGGTCAATATCGCGAAGGTCAATATTGGCACGATACTCCGTTGCCTGGAATTTCAATCTTCTTTGAGGCTGCGGGGGAATTCCCAAGTGCGTCGTGCCTCTCAAAGTCGACTATATAAAAAAAAAGGTGGAATTTTTCGTCTATAAATAGTTATTCCCGTCTCAGCGCTATTCAGACTTCTGAGACAGTGCGGAAGTTGGAACAGTTTGCCTCACTTTGGGACAGTTTGCCTCACTTTGGGACAGTTTGCCTCACTTTGGGACAGGTTGTATTCGCGCTGGAGCGAAAATGAGTCAACGTCGAGCAAGTATCGATTTTTTGGTGCGGCCGTTTCCTGACAGTATTGTGAAAAGGTTCATTGAATCGTGCAACGATGCTGACGATGCGCCCACGAACTACGTCGTCGTTTCCTCGATCCGATCGCGCGATCTCGCATGATGAGCGATCTCGCATGATGAGCGATCTTCGGGTCGGATTCGGTCGGGCCGGACTCGAGCGCTCTTCGACCGATCTCCCTCGTCACGCGGGGGAATCGCGTGTCCGGACCCATCACCTCCCCCATCACCTCCATCACCTCCCCCATCACCTCCTTCCTCGCGACCAGATGCAAAGCATTCTCGAGGGGAGATACGAGCGCGGTTTGGTGTGAGGCCAGTCGAGACATCCTCCGTGGAATCTCTTCGAATCGGGAAATTTTGATGCCTTCCCCTAAATTGCCCGACTTTTCTCCCCGTGGGAGAAAAATCGGGCAATTTAGGGAAAGTGAGGTATCGACGTCGGCGCCGTCTCGACCCGTTGAATGCCGACGATTCAACGTGTGCCTCATGGGGGAAAGGGAGAGGCCGCCCGTTCGAGTTGGTCCGGGAGGAATCCTAGAAATTGACAAGGATTTCGGGCTTCGTTTCGGTCTGGTTCTCGGGAGGGACAAAGGGGAAATAACGAAGAGAAGCATGATGACAAGCATGAAGACAAGCATTCTCAGAAACGTCGCGAAGGCCGTCTTTCAAGGCTTCAGAGGAAAAAAATTGACTGATTATAACTGACGAAAAGCGCACGATTAGTTTGAGGGAGCTTTTCCCTCCCGGAGGGCAAATTTCAAGGGCAAGGCTACCCTGGTGCAGGCAGTTGGAGCGAGTCTAAAAATGGTCTCACGGCGAGAGTTGTTTGATCGATGGATCGTCTGAGATCCCGAGAGATCAAGAACTTTGTGCAGCAGGAAGGGGGGGGGGGGGCTTGGGGGGCTTGAGGGGGGGCGTCGGGGGCAAAGGAAATGAGAGGATGGATTCCTCCTTAATGGACCTCATGCGTCTCTCTGCCTCCCTCTCGATTTTCCCTGGATTTGTTAGAGAGACAGACACCTGGTCGCGGAGGGAAAGAAAGATTGAGACAAAAGAGACATCCCCTGGCGCATCTAACTCGGTTTAGAGGGGGGGGGGGAGAGGGAACTGGAAATGTCCCACATCCGTGATCCCCCCTTTTTTTTCTTTTCCCCCTAATCCAGGATTCCTGGATCCGGGTCGATGGCTGGTTTCAAATTTTCCTCGATTTCGAGGGAACGTGCATGCGTTAATGCACCCGCGAGGCGTCGAAATGCACGACTTTGAGGGTTTATCAGGAAGAGAGACAGCGGAAGACAGCGGAGGAGGAAACCAATCTTGTGGATGGAAGCAATTCTGTGGGATCGTAGATGTCCGAAAATAATCTCGTTAGACGAATTAAGGGGGGAAATAATTATTCCTTGGAGACCGGGAATATTGTTCGCTTTGCACACTAGAGCTCCGGTCCTGTTTCTGGTCGAGGGTGGGTCAAGTATCGAAGGGGCCAAGGGTCCGGTGAGTACAGTCGAGGAGTGAAAGATGAATGGGGAAGGGTTAAAGGGTTACGGGCGAGGGTGTGAAGGGTGGATGGGGAAGGGTAAAGGGGATGGGTGAAGGTGTGAAGGGTGGATGGGGAAGGGTAAAGGGGATGGGGAAGGGTAAAGGGGAGGAGTCTAGGTGTGAAGGGTGAAGAAAAATCTTTTTGGCTTGGCTGATACCCTGGAGAATATGAAATACGGTTGGCAAACGATTCGATGGCAGGAGTTCAAAGGGGGCCATATGAAAAGGCCCTTATCAAATAAATGATGGTCTCCTCCGTTTTCATGACTTCTGATAACGCCATTTCCCGTGATGGAACTTCCTCATCGAGCAACTGAGCACATTAGTATATGCTGCTTAGCGTGAAGCGGAAACGGGGAACCCAGTTTTTGCGGATGCCTGGATCTGCGAACGGATGGATGGAAGTTGGGGAAAATCTCGGACTCTAGGAGGCAGTATGGCAAAATTTGGCACATCGATAGGAAAAATTTTGTATCTGGGAGAATAGTGTTTAGTGAAGATCATCGGAAATTTTTATTTTAGTGTGGTTTCGCTGTCTCAAAACTCTCGGAAACTATAGGAACTCTACAGACATTTTCCATAAGACCTATTTTTTTTTTCCTTTTTCTTGTCTTTAGGTGGGGCTAAAAGTACGGCGGCCATTGGCAAAGTGCCTTTCTCTCGACGCCATCCGCTCTGAACCCAGGTCTCCAGGTCCTGGCTTCTCCTGCAGAGGAAAAGGAACGCGACCCTGAAGGCTTAACGATTAATGGAGTGGCTAATGACTTTTTCTGAGTAAGCTCTTCGCTCTACTGGAACATCTGCAATCGGTGCATGAGGATTAAATGAGTGTGACTGACTGCAAGTCCCATACTCTTGCAGTATTCCCTCAGCTTTCCTGGAAGCACACGAAGCACTATGATAAGTTTACCTATGAAAATTGGAATGGACATGACTCCAGGACTGAGGATCTGAAAATAAAAGTTTCGTGCGGATACGTTGAATGGGAAAGTGCCAGAGAAAATTTAAAGCAAGAATGAAAGGCTACCTGCAGAGGCTCTCATGGCACGAGTAGAAAAAGAGGGACATCTCGGTCCTCTGAGAGTTCGATGTAACGAGGTGCATCTAAGTTTCCTTGACTGCAATCTCTCCATTAGACTCTCGCTCGCACTGGAGCAGCGAGACTCACTGGACCGAGTTGTCTCTCTAATGAGTATTTGGCCTATGCTCGCCAGTTTCGCGAGCGACTCCTTACTTTCAAAGTATTTGGGATCAAAACCTCACCTGCCCCAGACGCCTGAACGAGGAGATCTCATTCCACTCCCTGATTTTATTTTACCATTCCTCCTGCACAAAGACTTTAACTTGAAAAATTCTGTCCCGTCTTCCGCAAGTTTAGACTGAGACAAAAGGGTGTTCATTTGTGCAATCGCTTCATGTATTCAGTGAGATCAGAAACACAATCACAAATGAGTGGAAGGCACAATGGATGAATCCATGCAAGGGGTTACAGTTCACTCTGAAGTGTATTCCAGGAGGTGGAGGTTCTCAAGGGAGCTGGACCTCCACGGGTGGAAGAAAGCCGACGAGGATCTCTGAACCGGCCTCCTCCCATCCGCCACCTCCACTTCCTCCAACTCCTCGTTCTCGTCCCGCACGTTCGGGTCCCCTGCGTGGGAGTCGAGATTGTCCAGTAGCTCCACCGTGGAACCCTTCCAGGGGAAACTGCGACCAAGGGGCTTCTCGTCTTCTCCCCCCCACGGGCACACTTTCAGAGTTGCAACCTCACTGCAATGAATGAACGATAGAAACATCTTACTTCTGATACTAACATGGAGGGAATTTCACAAATAGCAAGAGACAGCTGCCATGGATTTACAGAAGAATCTCGTCAACTCGAAGTCCAGGAGACCAAATCAATAGATTCGAATCATTCGAAGTTCGATTAATCAGAGCATGCCTATGTCCTCTGCCCGAGTATGAGGAAAACATTTATATTGATTTTTTATCTGTCCTCATGCCCGATTTCCTTTCATGCTCTATTTCGAGGAGCGAGAAACGTATGTAGATCTTACTTCATTTCCAAGAAACACAAAGCTTTGATCGGAAAAAGGACCCGCTCAGCTTAATCCGCTTTAGGTGAGGGAAGAGGAGGAGAGAAAACAGAGAAATTGCGCCTCTCCTTGGTAGGATAGATTTCTTCTTTTTTTTTTAATCTATCCAGAAAATAGATAATTGTATTACTACACCTTTTCAAGACGTCTGTGTGAATCTTCACAGTCGCCATTTTGACTTAACAGTGAGAAAATCGGCCCTTAGGGTCTGAAGGATGATACGATATATCAAGAAATCCGAAACAGGCGAATTCGAGTTTAAAGGGAATATTTAATATGGTCTTCTATGCAGTTCCACAGAGACAATGCACTCCGAGGTAAGCGAAATTTCAACAGAATTCGACCTAAAAATGTTCTCCTGTCCAGACATATAAGCCGAACCTGTCTGGGGACAGCTTTTTCATGACTTCTTTTGTCATGGCCCATACGTACCTGCCATTTACGTGTGAGAACGAATCAAACTAAAATTAATATGAAAACCCAAAATGGAATTATAAAGGAAAACCTTGCACGATCAAGATATAATGAATAATGCATCACAATTTTCCAATAATCGAGCTATTTCTGAGGACAGTTATAGTTGGTAATGCAAGCTAGCCCCAAGAGGTAACATATCTAGGAATCCGTGCGTGCTGTCCACAAGAATGTGGTTTACAAGACAGAGGAGAAGCAAATAACGAGATTTCCCCCTTCCATTTATTCAGTGAAGCACCGCATAAAATATTAAGGACTACTCACAGGAGAGGAGAAAAGGAGGAGGAGGATGCTCGTCTCCAATTCTTCCATCGGTCCGTGAGGAGGGCGACGAGGCAGGCGACGAGGCAACATACCATCACGCACGTCATCGCGGACACGAACACCAGGTCGTCGGAGGAGTAACACTTCCCCTCCACCGCCTCCACCGTGGCAGAAGGGGAGTAAGCGACGGCTGGGGTTCGAACCGAGTCCAACGGTTGACCCCGAAACGGGAAGCGGTGTGTGTCGTCTACTTTAGACGCAGCGACGATGCTAGCTTTGGAGTGGCGAATGCGGCGACTGTGGGGCAACCGTCGTGCTTCCATCGCGGCTTCTCTCTGACGGAAGAGAGAAGATGCGGCGGGGGTGCGGGGAAGGACACTGTCCCGTTCATGCGCACTCCTCTTCTCCCGTACTACAACGTCCTCGCCCTCGGCAGTCTCATTGGAGCCCGTTAGGAATTTCTGCAACTTCTCCGCCAAAGTCATCGTCGTCTTTTCTGACAGCGATTGATCTACAAATCAGGGAATTCGGCCGTAATGTTCTCTGTGGGTCATCGGACATGGTATTTTTTCCCCATCGCAATAGCAAAAACACCAAGACCTAAATTCATGAAATCCGGTACTAAATCCGTACTACTGTGTAACGAAATCGAAAGTTTCGGATCGCATCTTGAATTAATGCTTGTTAAAAGAAAGAAACGGTATTGATATTCATATTTGAAACCTTACTTGGGGGTAAGCTTTATCCGTAATTTCCAACCTGAAAATTGAAAAGCGCTCTCTTGCAAAAGCCTCTCATGCCTATAAACAATTTATCAATGAATAACGGTCTTCCACTAAGTGTAGTACCAAGTACATCAAGTACTTAATGCCTGTATCTCAAAAACGCCAAGATCGATCGCAAAACGACGAGATCATTCCGAAGAGATTTTCACCGCGAGCCAATGTGCAAAGTGGCTCTTTCTAAATTGGGCACGATTTCATGTAAATCGAGCAAAACTTTTGCGTCATAGAGATCCATTATAACGGTCTGGTTACGTTCTCTAAAAACCAGGTGGCGAACGTGTCCCGAGCAATCGTGGAATTGGCGCTGGAAGTGAGGCCCGATCCTCGATTGTTCCCTTCCAGTCGGTCACACAGGGTGGCTGTGGCGAGAGCCTCCATGGATGTGAAGAGCGGGGGCGAGCATTCCCACTTAAGGAATCCGCGTCTGGAGGGGGATGGTGGGGAGGAGGAACACGAAGAAACCAGACGGTGGAGGCCTTTTCCTTCCACGGCTGGGAAATGAAGGTTTCATTCGGGAATGACTTCTTTATTCAATGACCTTTTCATGTAAACCGCTGAGTATGCTCCGCGGCATAAATAGGGAGTGTAAATTCTCTGTAGTTCGTCATGCATAATTTGTTTAAAAAAACGGTCCTGGATATTGTGCCAAAGACGCACTTCGAGCAGCAGCACAGTGCAGTGGCAATGGGAGCCGATAGAGAACCTAAATTATCTCTTCACCTCTGATTTGAATAGAGAGAAGGTTAATTCAATGGGACGGGCATCGAGGGATAAATCTTTGGCGAGCCATATAATTTTCACGATGAAAACAGCTTTGTTCTTCTGGTCCATTCACGGCATCTTTCATCTTTCATCTAGAAAGTTTCCAAAGGTATAGAAACCTTAGGAAACTTTCTGAAACCCCACCGTGTATCATCTTCGAATGTATAGACGTCCATGTTTGAGAGAAATCGCAGCAATTACATTCGTGTTCCCTTCTCGTTAATAATTAGCTCAGTTCGGTCTCGTCGATGGGCAAATAGGAGAAAGCCAAATTGCAAACGTCAACGTGGAAATTGAAGCAGAAACCCTCTCATCAGGAATTCAATAACTTCATAGTTTAATGTTAACCGTTGTACTGAAATAGATGCCAGTATCTCTTTCCTGTAGATGGGTGGAGAACCTGATAGACCCTGTCCATATCCAAACAAAAATGTTCTGGAGCTCACGAGGATGTTTCACTTCGTGTCCGTCTCCATCCGATGAGCCATCTTGGAGGCAGTATTCAGCTCTTTCTTAGGGGATGCCCTTTTGATAATGGCAGACCGAATACTGTCATAGACAGGTCAAAGAAGAGAGGTCTTCCTGAATGAAGTCGTTCATAACCAGGAAAAAGGAATTGGGAAAGGGAATTTGTCTTTTCTGTCAAGTATCCCATAGCCTTCCTTTCCTCCACTGTCTGGATAAAAATTCCTAAAATCTCTCACCCTCTGTTCAACACGTCGATGAAGGAGGTTCTCCCATCCCAACACTTGAGTCAACAGAATCAACTTAGTTTAGTGTAAATGGAGACGCCATCCGTGGAAACACTAGGTGACGAGTGATGACGAGCATTCCTTCTATTTCTGTTACATAAATGTTGAATTATCCTCTTCCCCCACCCCATGACTTTCCCTTGACCTAGAACCGACCATTTCCCTTGTTCACTTTCCTGCCCCCGGGCGAAACAACTAGACTTCGACGAGGAAATTGTGGAGGTGCAGAAAGTATTCTTCCTAGAGGGGACATTATGTCTCGAGGAGGAGGTAGGTGGTCATTGGCAGGGAAGAAACGAAGTCAAAAGGGGAAGCTCGGAGTTACAGCAATTATTTAGAGGAAGAGTTGAAGGAAAGGATCACGAGACCGTTGCATCATGGCCACGAGTGCGTTGGGATTTCTCTAATGGCGAATTCCCTAACACCCCATATTAGCCCGGCAGAGAGTGATCTCTGGTCCTTAACACGTTGACGACCAGCCTATTTTTGCTTGTCCGCCGCGTGGGACC